AGAGTAGATTTCTCTGTTTCTCTGTCCAAGTACCCTTACCTGTTAGCCGAGCTCACACAAAAATTAAGCCAAATAAGTTAACCTGAGTTACTATGGCATTGGTGCATCCTATGGGATGGGATACAAATGTATGACAAAGTCACTTTGGGTTAACACAGAGCCAGAATAAGCTGGGAGAGGTGTAAGGCCTGTTTTTTTCTTTGTTTTTTCTTCAAGGCAGTTTGGTATAGCATTTTCCTCAGGCAACTTTTGCCACCTGGTGGTCAAACCACATAAACTGGTATTCTGGATCCTGGTGGAAAGTAGATGATTATAACAATTTCCTAAATCCTCAGGGCTGAAAATGCAATAATGGACAGTATATCTTAGAGGCCACGCCATCTCGAGGGCAGGTCCCACGACCTTAAGTGCTTCTACATGGTGTGTGTTGACCTGCGCCCGGGAGCCATTACATTTGAGGGGAGAGGGCAGCTGGGCCTTAGCATCTCAATGTGACTGTTGTGTGTATGGAAATCTCTTCTTGTTGTTGATCTTACATTTCTTCCCTAATTCTGAGTCATAACTTACTTCAAAAGTAGCCACTTTAATTCTCTTTAAACAGCAGAAATAATTCATGTATTTCCTGCACAACTATTTTAGCATCAAACATATATAAAAGCCTGTTCCTGGACATGAAGGGCTGAATATTTGTGCTCTTCTTAACCAAACATTAGATTTCCATCTGAGACTGTTTTTGAACTTGACAGGGGCCTATTGGATATTTATGAAAAACCTGAGAATTGATAACCGCAAGGCTATAGGTTTAACTGTGCCCTTTATGCTCGTTGGGTGTTTTTTTAATAAAGTAACTGCTTTGCAGAGGGATCTTGTTATCTCTAAAGTAAAACAGATTAGGAAAGCTGTTTTTCAAAGGGATGAGAAAGCATCCATTTCCAGATGTGTCAAAAACTACTGAATCACACTGTCAAAGGATTATGTGGTTGAAGGCAGAAATCAAAAAGAAAGAAAAAATGATTTTTACTTTACTATTAAATATAGAGTTCAGATTAGTTTTAGAATGTTCTTTTCTCTGATGAAATAACTGATGCACAACTCTTTAGAACATATTTTCTTAACTGAAGACTTTTTCTGCTGGATCCTTAGACACAGGAGGGAATATCAAATCTCCCGGAAATCTGGCAGACCACAGAATAGAATAATTTTTATTCCACAGATTTCATATCAATTGCTTCAGGGACACATGGGACGTCATGGTCTATTTAGAGTTATAGTTGGCCTGAGTTTTCCCTGGTGTAGATGTATTTATATAAATAGTGAACTGGATTGACTTTATAGTTTTCCTCTAAATCAAAATGGAATATTCATGCTGTCACCCTCACTAGCCCAAGGCAAGGTGGAACTAGTAGCAAAAATGTAAGTAGCTATGCTCCTGAAAGAAAGGAAAACACTGGCCTGTCCTTGGTAGGCATAATTAACTACTCCCACTCAAAGCCCCAATCTTGTTCTCTTTGCCACAGAATGAAAAGTTAAATCTTATGCTTACCCCAAAGTAAGTCTTTGCTATAGGTTCTCTTCCACATTTCTGCTCTCTCTATGTGGCTCTTCATTCATTTCCAGTTTGAATACATGGTACAGATGTCCCTTGTTCATTCAAAAAAGAAAATATTTGCTGAATTCTTACCAAGTGCTGGGTGCTCAGTGTACAGGCAGGAAAATAAAGTTCCTATTCTCCAGGAATTTATATTTGAGGTGGAGAGACAGACCATAAACAAATAAGTAGTATCAGACACTGATAAATGCTATGGCTAAAAATAAAGGAGGAGAAGAGGCAGAAGGCTCTTGAGAGGGTGACATACGAACAACAATATGAATGAAGTAAGAGTTTGAAACAGGTGAATATCTAAGAGCAAAGCATGTCAGAGAGAAAGCAAATACGAAACCCTCAAGACACGGCAAGCAGGCCAGTCTGTCTGGAGAGGAATGAGCAAGGCTGAGTGGAGGAGATGTGTTTGGAGAGTCAAACTGGAACCCTTTCACATACAACTTTGCAGGACATAATCTGCAAATATTCTAGGGGTGATAAGAAGTCAGGCTGGCTCAGTGTGTGGAGGAGATGTGTTTGGAGAGTCAAACTGGAACCCTTTCACATACAACTTTGCAGGACATGATCTGCAAATATTCTAGGGGTGATAAGAAGTCAGGCTGGCTCAGTGTTCATCAAAGTATGTTCCCACAAGATGCACCCCTACCACTCGCTCTCCGTTTCTTTGGTCAAATTTGGAAAAGCCTATGTACTTTATCCATTTCTGTATTAGAGATTCACAATCACAAGAGCAAGTGACAAGTTCTGAGACGTTCACAGTACAGATGTCTGGTCGTCTATGTTAAACTCATTTATCATGGAATTCTTTTTTCTAGTGATGTAGAAATCAAGGGCATGAATTTGAACCCTCCCTGTCCATTCACATCGTTGTTTGCTTCATAGCCAGAGATGATGTCACAATCCCAAACATCGTATAAGTCTACTCTTTGGTCGCAAGGAGAACTAGTGTCCGTGACTCATATTGGTCCATGGTGTGGTGCTGTAGAGTCCAGCTACCCATTCATTTACTAATTTATCTAACTTTTAGACTCCATCTGTAAATCTGTGGATGCTCATCAAATTGTTTTTAAATTAATAAATGATTTATGAATGGAAGAAGAGCTCTACAGAATGGTGAAATAGAATAATTTTCTAAGATGAGGTGCATAGATTTGGTAGGTCCGTACATACTCTGCTCCTGCCATAGTCTGTTATCTACCAGATAAGACACCAGCACAATGAGACAAATGATGTGTACTAAGCAGTTGATTTAGTTTAATCAGTACGTATTTGCAACTTGTAAAGGTAAGGGTGTATTGTTAGAAGCGAGTGATACAGTATGAAAACAGAATATCTAATATGATTTAGGATATACCATACAAGGAGTGGGTTCTTTTCAAAAAGTTTAGTATAACTTTTCTAGGTAGGTACTGATTTAGAATTATTGACACAAACACCTTTTTGGAGGCACGAAACGTGCCTTTCAGGAATTACCTTTTCAGCATAGAAACATAGATCATATGGGCAACAAAGAGACACAGCACAGACCAAGGCAAGAACAAAGCCCAAATACAACTGGATGTTGGTGTCTTTGATTTACAGAGCAAACCACGAATAATGAGATCAAAGATGAAGCAGTCACAAAGGCTGATTCTCTTGAAAAGGTAAGGAGTTATTTTCCTAAAAGTATAGATGACAAGTAAGATGATCTGAGAAAATCTGACCCACAGTGAGAAACATTAAAAAAAAAAAAGAAGAAAAAAAAAGGTGCTTAGAAGGAGAATACTGATGCTAGTGGTGAGGGATTATTCAGGCATCCCCAGAACCAGCTTCAACTGGAGAGAAAGGAGTTAACTTTACTAGCCGACTTAGGCAAAACTTCCCAGCCCCATGCTCCTCTCTAGACAGTGTGGCTTGGCAACCTCACAAACACCTGCTGACCATACAGCCATGTAGAAGTAACGTTGTCTTGAAGTGAGTTCAGAAAACCTGCTTATAATTGCTAACAGGACTCAGAAGAGTATAACCTAACAATAAAAATATTTAGATTATGTTGCCCATAAAAAAAAAAAAAAGTCAAAGGCATACTCTTTCTGGCAGCAGCTCTCCTAAAATGTTGCCATATGGATTTATACATATGCAGATTTCCCCAATTAGATGGAGTGCATGCTGGTTCGTTGTCAGAGTCCAAGAGGATTCCATTTGGACTGAAAACAAATTAAAGCTGAAATTGTGTTCCTATGATTTTTTAGAAATCCAAGAAGATGACAGTGGAAGCAGATTTAGAAGACATAAAGAAAACACAGCAGCGCAGTCTAATGGACTGGAGTTTTACTGAACATTTTAAACCGAAAGTACTGCTTCAGGTATTTATGGACTGTGATTCTCCAGGAGACAGTTGGATAGGTGTGGGGAGTCATGCTGTGATTTAGAACAGTTCACTTGTCGGTCACTCTCTCAGATCACGTTCAGATCGATATTCCCGTTTACTTCAGCTATAACATGAGTTGATTCCCAGATTGAGCTATTCATTCCCAGGGTATCTCCAAAAGAATTTAAAATATACTTCCTAAAAGGATGATTTAATAAAATCTTTTAAGAAAAAAGAGATATACAAGACTGCTGCACATATTTATTAGAAAAAAAATAAGGCTTTATTGGGAAGCAATCTCATTTTTTCCCGTTTTGTCTGTCTGTTCTATTTAGTTTCCACTACATTTCATAGTATTTTCTGTTTTGATTAAGAGGTCATTGAAACCCATGATAACTAACACTTTTTGAGTATTTACCATGTGCTAAGCAATGATTAATATGTGTTACTAGCACACTTCATTCTCACAATAACCCTGAGAAGCAGAAACTATTTAAATAGTAGGAAACTGAGGCATTTGACCAACAGTGACTTTTGCCCAAGGTCACAAGGCTCCTAAGTGAGAAAATTATGTTAAGTGAAATAAGCCAGGCGCAGAAAGAGAAATACCACGTGTCCTTGCTCACAAGTGGGAGCTAAGAAACAAAGAAAGACCATAATAAAACGTCAAACCTTCAGAAAGAGAACAGACTTATTGTTACTAGAAGTGGCAAAGAGGGAGCGGGAAGAGAAACAGAGTAATTGGGTAAGGGACACAAAAAGTATTATGATTTGTAATGATGAGCATCTAATAATTTTGATTTGATCATCGCATACTGTACACAAATACCAAGTCAACTCTATGCCCCATATATACGTATAAATAAAAATAATAATTTAAAAAAGAAGCAGAATATAAACCCAGGAAATCTGGCCCCAGAACTGTTCTCTTAATCACTATGCAAAACAAGTAATCCTAAAACTAATTCCTTGTGTTGTTTTTAGATTTTATACAAAAACCTGTACCCTTTTGATTTTGTCTTTTTAATTTAAATTTTATTTTTATCAGTGTTTACAACCACATATTTTTAAAGCCAGAAAGTTCCACAAAGGGTCCTATTATGAAAAACAGCGGCCTCCTGCCCACCTTCCCCCCATGCCCAGAGGCAAAAATCTTCAGTGCAGTACCAGTTTCTTTTGCTACTTAATTCTGTTATCTCTAAATATCAAGAGTATTTTGTTTAGTTTTATTTTCAGTTTAGAGGTATCATTATCAATTGACTCCCTGTTGAGAACACAACTCTGTCCACCCCCATTCAACACACACACACACACACACACACACAACTCGCATGTACACACACACATTCACACACCACTACATTCACACTAGCACTTCTCAATTCTCTGACACTTAACTATACCATAATTTTTGCCTAGATCCATATTCAATATTAACTTTATTTCAGTTACATAAATGCTATTTACAGCTGAGCTGCATAGTATTCTATAATTATATTTCCTTTTGGGGGCACCATTTTTGTTTTCCCTGGAGTTAAAAATTGCTTTTTTTTTTTTCCATTTGCTTAGTTTACCATCCGTTTATCATGCATTAATTCATGCAAACTCTCCACCACGGAGTAAATATCCTCGAAATACATCCAAACAGATATTCTTCTATTTTATTGTCTCAGCAATATTTCTGCCATATACTCTAAGCTTGCTTCACAGCTGTGGTCCTGCGATCTCCCTTTATCAACATCCCGACAGAACCCATTGCCTCTCTTCCCAGTTAGATACCATTTCCTTTATTCCATGTCTTCTTCTCTCTTGAGTTACTCTCTTTTTTGTAAAGGATCATCTGTTCTAGTAGCTTCCTTAATTAAGAAATATGGCAGGCAAATTTCTGAGGCATTGGATATTTGAAAACGTCTTAATTCTACCTGTACATTGACTGACAGTTTGGCTTTGTATAAGTTGCTAAGTTAGAAGGCATTTTTCATCAAAATTTTAAAGGCATTCCTCAATGGTCTTTTGGCCTCCCAGAATGTTCTTAAGGAATAAACAATGAAATTCTGATTTCTGATCACTTGTCTGGATATTTTTTTTTTCTCTTTCTCTCTCTCTGGAAGGTTTTAAGATTTCTTTATTTCAGTGTTCTAGATTTTCTGTTGATGTGCCTTGGTGTGGTTCTATTTCTATGTATTGTTTTAATGAGCCTAGTGCAATCCAGAAACTCCTGTCTTTATATTCTGGAAAATGTTCTACCGTTATTTCTTTAATAATCTCTACCTTCCATTTTCTTTATTCTTTCTTCCTGGCACTCCTATTATTCTGGTGTTGGACCTCCTGAACTAAACTTCCAATTTCCTTATCTTTTCTCTCCTACTATACAACACTTTGTGTTTTTGTTCTGGAGCTATTGCTCAGCTTTCATCCAATCCTTCTACTGAGTCCTTTGTTATCATCATTTTAATTTCCTAAAGTTCTATTTATAGTTCCACATTACCTTTGCTATAGGTCAAGGCCCCCCAACATTCATCTACTGGAAACTTGATCTCCATGTAACAGTGTTAAGAGGGTGAGAAATCCAATAATGGTATTTGAAAGGTGGACCTTTAAGAGGTCATTAGATTATGAGGACTGTGCCCTCATGAATGGATTGATTCATTCATGGAGTAATGAGCACAGTTCTGATGGCTTTACAAGGAGGACAGTTGAGATGGTCAGCTCTGTCTTGCTCAGCCCATTATCACCATGTGATACCTGGTTACCGTGGGATCTTGTAGAGAATTCCCACCCAGAAGAAGATTCTCACCAGATGTGTTCCCTGAACTTTGGACTTCCCAGCCTCTGAAACTGTAAGAACTAAATTTCAGTTTTTTATAAATTACCCAGTTTCAGGTATTCTGTTATAAGCAACAGAAACAGAATAATATACTTTTTTATAGGATCCTTTTTTTACATTCCTGATACAATGTCTTCTCTTATCTCTATTAGGATATTAAAGTTCTTTTAAGTTGTCTTCTCTCTGAATTGTCTTTTTTTCCTCCAAATTCCTTTTCTTTTTTCATTCTTATTTATTCATTTATTTATTTGGCCCTACTTTTTTGGTGTCCATTTTCCTGTTAGATGTTGTATTAGTGCAGGTCTAGTTACTGAATTAAAGAAGTCTAATCTTCTTCTCCCAGCACTAATCTCCCAAAACCCTGACAGGTAGGTTTTTGCCTTTCAGATAGACGATTAGATTTTTCTTCCTGCTGGAGAATCTAAAAGGCCCAAAAGAACAGATCTAATATGCCAACATTGATGAGTCTCCCAAGGAAACCACCCAGGAAATCACCCAACAATGAAAGGGTGGGAGCCTTGTTAATGGGTGTGACTCTTCACAGCAACACAGAGTGTTGCATTGCAAAATGGCTTAAGCAAGAGAGAGCTACTCCTCACTTGCTCTCCTTTTAAAGCCATCAGAACCATGCCCATTATTCCATGAATGGATCAGTCCAATCACAAAGGCATAGTCCTCACAATCTAATCACCTGTCACAGTGGGGATTAAGTTTCAGTTATTTGGGAGGAACGTTCAATCCACAGCAGAGGAGAATATCTTATATTTGCCTCTTTGCTCATATTAATAATAAAACACCAAAATATGATAGGAATTGCTTTATGAGAGGTTAGGGGCTTCATTGTTGAGTGATTTGCTGAGTGATTTCCTTAGGAGACCCATCAATGTTGGTATATTAGGTCTGTTCTCTTGGGCCATTTAGATTCTCCAGGGGAAAAAAAAAA